TATATGGCTAAATATACGACGTCTTAATTTCAGGAATGACCCAATTTAAAAACTAGGGGAGGGAATTGAGACAAGGTGTTTTCACATCAACATCACAGGGTGTTCTAACGTTTTAAGTCAGTATTACCAGAGCGACGTACTCGTAACATCTGCAAGCACCTACGGTACTCGCTGTAAGGGCTTGCAGATGTTACGTCGCTCGGTGTACTGACTTAGAAACGTTACAACACCATGTGATCCGCATGATGACAAATATTGTCTTCTTACCTCCCCATTACTTTACATTATACAGTCATTGTGCAAGTTATTTTTTTCTAATATCTTCTAGCTATAGTTTTCAAATGGGTAACCCTTAATCTATCCCTGGATCTACGGCGTGTATCGGAGTGGGCGTTATTTGCATTCGGTCGTTTGCTGCCCCATCAAACACTGCCACGGTGTCTGCGATAGCACACACTGCAACCTCAAAATTTCACATATGTACACATATGCATTCCAAATATTTTCTCCTAAAATTCCACTACTTTCAATAGTAGGTGCCATGGCAGTGTTTGATTGGGCAGCCTACAAATGAATGTAAATAACACCCACTCTGACAATACCTAGAGCCCAGGGTTACCCTAACACCACCCCGCTCCAACCACAGCCCTAGGTTACCTTAAGATATGTTACGTAGCTCGGGATAAGATGTTATTCAGTCATAATAATAATATACAATGTTGGCCAATGGAAAAATCCTTGTAAAAACAAAAGATTATTGAAATTAATTGCTATTCTTCTTTGTTTTGATATATAGAATTGATATTAAAGAATAGTTTATTATGGAGGACTCTGGAAATAGATTCAAATTAAAGAGTGATGAGGATGGGTTTGAAGACCGTAACAAAGATGTGTTTGGCGGATTGACAAGTCTGGAAGATCATTATCTAGTGGATGCTAGAAAGAGATCCAGCTGCTATGACGATGATGTTGATGAGGGTGAAAGAAGCCATTGCAAGCGTAGCAGACGCGAATTCAAAAGACCTGATATCCCTAATGTAGATCGGTTAAGAGGAAGAGGACGAGGAGGACGACGAAAAACTCCAGATTATGTTCTTCATCCTTACAGTTGGACCAAGTACTCCCTGAGAGAAACCGGTGAAGAACACATGTCTGAGAAGGGAGATTCACTCAATAAAAAAGTTGCATTAGAATTCCTTCAAAAAAACAAAACACCAAGTGAGGACAAAGAGGAGATGACAGAAGAGGACAATGATAGAAAAATGGTCTTCAAAAAACCAATAAAAAAGAAAGAGGTTCAAGAAAAGACGAAACCCAAGACATCAGCATCCTTGTTTGTTGATAACACACATAAAATAAAACTCAGGTATGTGGTTGGCAAGGAAAAACGAGAGAACAAAAAGAATATCTCAACTGTGAATACTGATAACTCACAGACAAGCAGCTGTTTGGACCTCCATCATTTGGATGATGATGTTAGTCAGTCAGAGGACAGCAAGTCAGATGACACAGTACAAGGTTACTTCATCATATGATAGTGGGAGTGGGAGCGTAGCAAGTTTTAAATCTGTCAAATCAAAAGGACGGAGACAACAAATGAGGCAGCGGAATGAAGAACAAGATAATTAAGCATTCAAACACATTTGTAGAAACAAATACGTATTTCTTTTTCCTCAAACATGTTCACAAAATTTAACCTTATCACTGGGATGATTCTTCCTAGTTCACAAAAACAGAGCTTCAGTTCATGGGTTGTTGACTAGAGCATTTTGTCCATAGCTAACATAATGCAACAGAAAATACTGTAAAACATGTCATGTCTTTTTAGCGAATTTAGCGAGAGAACCGGTTCGCTAATTCAAGATATTAATTTATTATAAATACAAAATGGCTGCCAAACAACGACTCTCTACACACACACTTT